TATATATAAAACAGTAAGCAGTAAAATAGCAAATCTAGACAGGTGGAGCTGGGAAAGGTGGAGGGTTTCAGCAATCTTTCAAGCAATCTTTCTGGAGTTTTATGACTGAGCAAGATATATATTCTGGGAAGATTTGTCAAGAAATTGTTGTTTTTGAGAAATATTTAGTAATCAGTATATTCCTGATTTATTCCAGACTTCAAACTCACATGAATATATCTTGGATTGCTTCTGGACTGCTGTGGTTTCTCCTGACCTCCTCCTCATCACACAGTTGCCGTCACATTCTATCCCCTGCAGGAGCATCCAGAGGTTCTCATTTCAGCATCAGGGTCAAAATGGCCCTTTGAAACCATAGACTCAGCAGTGTAGCACATCTCCCTACAGCAGCTCGGGAATGTCTCTGTGGTAACGGGTCCACTTCTGATAGGTAGAGTGCAGGACTGTGGCCCTTTCTAAAAGCTGAGATCTCTTAGTGAGAGCTGGAAGGGTTTGAGGGTGTGAAATGCTAAGAAGATATATATTCTGGGAAGATTTGTCAAGAAATTGTTGTTTTTGAGAAATATTTAGTAATCAGTATATTCCTGATTTATTCCAGACTTCAAACTCACATGAATATATCTTGGATTGCTTCTGGACTGCTGTGGTTTCTCCTGACCTCCTCCTCATCACACAGTTGCCGTCACATTCTATCCCCTGCAGGAGCATCCAGAGGTTCTCATTTCAGCATCAGGGTCAAAATGGCCCTTTGAAACCATAGACTCAGCAGTGTAGCACATCTCCCTACAGCAGCTCGGGAATGTCTCCGTGGTAACGGGTCCACTTCTGATAGGTAGAGTGCAGGACTGTGGCCCTTTCTAAAAGCTGAGATCTCTTAGTGAGAGCTGGAAGGGTTTGAGGGTGTGAAATGCTAAGACACACACACACACACACACACACACACACACACACCAGAGAAGTTGGCTTCATGAGTTAATAATGCATGAGCATGAATAGATATAAACAGGAAATATGGCATGAATGTGACAAATGTGATTTCTGCTATCTTCAGGGTGCTATCATCTAGTACCCTGCCAAAAATGTTATTAAAAAAAAAAACAAGGAAATATTTTGTTCACATACACACTAGGGTATCTTTATGTATACATCTATGACAGTATGTGTGTGTGTGTGTGTGCTATTGAGGTTTGTAGGCACAGTTTTTCAGCATATATATATGCTATATTTTGCAGAGATGTATTTAACATAAGCTAATATTAAGGTGACACTTATTTTTCATAGTTCATTTTAGACATTCTACTAACTATAAATAACTTTTTCAAGAACATGTTAACTTATTCTACTAAACCCTAACTTTAACCTAATAGTCTACTGCCCTTATGAAAGTTAGTTGACATGTAGTTGCAAAGTTACTTATAGTTAGTAAAATGTCTAAAGTGGACTATCAAAATAAAGTGTGATGAATGTGAATGTAATTGATCTTTTACTATCTAGAATATCTTTTTCACAATCACATTACTACAAACTCTATGATCACATTTTTATGAATACTATTCTATAATATATGCCACATTAATAAAATAAAATAAAACAAAAATAATACTGAAATAAAGTTGTTCACAACTTCTAGTTCATACAGACTTGAAATAGATTAATATATATATATATATATATATATATATATATATATATATATATATATATATATATATATATATATATATATATATATGCAGTATATCTCTGTATTTTCATGAGTGGCTGTCACTTTTTAGACTTGCATCGGATCCATACATTTCCAACAGCATACATATGCATGCTATATTTTGCAGAGATGTATTTAACATAAGCTAATATTAAGGTGACACTTATTTTTCATAGTTCATTTTAGACATTCTACTAACTATAAATAACTTTTTCAAGAACATGTTAACTTATTCTACTAAACCCTAACTTTAACCTAATAGTCTACTGCCCTTATGAAAGTTAGTTGACATGTAGTTGCAAAGTTACTTATAGTTAGTAAAATGTCTAAAGTGGACTATCAAAATAAAGTGTGATGAATGTGAATGTAATTGATCTTTTACTATCTAGAATATCTTTTTCACAATCACATTACTACAAACTCTATGATCACATTTTTATGAATACTATTCTATAATATATGCCACATTAATAAAATAAAATAAAACAAAAATAATACTGAAATAAAGTTGTTCACAACTTCTAGTTCATACAGACTTGAAATAGATTAATGACAACTCTCAGAACAGTTTTAGCTTGTAAATGAAAATTACAATATTAATGTGTTTTATCTTGGCTACATCTGCTACACACACTACTGCTGCAGCAAATCAAGTATAGACATGTTACTGTCAATTGATACATAGACAGACTGCAGTGAGCATGTAAGATATGTTGCCACTGCATAAATACACATACATAAATCTGTCAGACAGGATAGGATCTAGACAGGTGGAACTGGGGGAGGTGGAAGGTTTCGGAGACTCTTAAAAACACACCTTACAAACCTAGTCCATACGATTTGTACACCATATTCCAAACCATCTAAAACCATATGATAACTTTAAGTGTTGAAGTATATAATTCCTAAATGTAAGCATTTAGGTTTGGAAAGACATTAGGGTGAAGAAATTAACAATAACAAACAGACATATAACAGAAATGTCACTTTAAATATTTTTAACAGGTTAAATAGACCAGTTTACTCAATTAAAACACATAAGCTTTAAAGTATCAAAGCAATCCTTTGGTAATATGCCCAGAACCTATGTAGTCCTATTGTCACTCCCAGTTATGGTGATTATACCAGTAATAAATGACACAGAAATAGGAAATAGTATCCCAGAATAGGTTATGTGTACATTTCAATAATGGTCATTGGAGTGATTTGGCGCTCTTTCCTGCTGTCAAAAAGCACTCAGGGCCAGCTAGGCTAAAGGCTACAGATTTGATTAGTGATACAGTGACCAGCTGCTGCAACACAATAGCCAAATCATTACTGCGGCTTTCAGTGGAATGAAGACAGAAAGGCTGGGGGAATTATAGTGCCAGGGATATGTCAACATATGTACAACCTAACCAGCTAGCATTAGCATGCTTGCAGCTTGGTTAAAGACCTGCATTTTATTTTAAATGATGGCCTTGTGTATTTTGGATGTGCAGTGTGCACTGAAAAATACCTGAACCATACAAAACCTCTTTGTAGAAGAAAGCCAAAGTGTTATCTTAGATTGTTAGGTTGATAAATTGCAAGTGTGTGTGCATTTGTGTGTACGCCCAATCAAATAGACTACTCGTGTGTGAAAATCAGAGCAGGTGGCAACGCAACAGGATGACGAGGTGACAGGACCATGTTGAATGCATGTGCATGTGTTTTTTTGTGAATCTGTGCTGTGCTGGTTTGCCGACACAGCTCATCACCTTCTATATTTCTCTCCAACACCTGTGGATTGCTGACATATTCTTCATTCTTTATATAGTACTTGCTGTGTTTACCAAGATGGATAAACTAAACTAGAATGATTGATTTATAAACTGGAATTCCACTGAGTTTAAATAGCAGCTTGGTATTGGATGAAATTTCAACTTTGTGTTTATTAATACTCAACAGACAAAATATTTACGATTTCATAAGGCACGATAGATAAAAATGGAACTAAAGTTCTGGCAGATATATTAGAAACTAAATAGTTTATGATCACGTTTTTAGCCATATGTTTGTCCTTGACATTTACCATATTTGAAAGGCATTTTCAATAACACAAGTGTTCTTTATTTACAAACAAACAGTTAGGGATGATTTGCTGACATGAAAATTATATTAAATATATCCACAATCTGCACTGGTTTATGATCATGTTTTAGCCATATGGTTGTCCTTGACATTGACCATATTTGAAAGGCATTTCATAATGATGTAAATATGAAAAATAACACAAGTGTTCTTTATTTACAAACAACATAGTGAGGGATGCTTTGCTGACATGACAATTATATTAAATATTTTCAAATACAAAAATCTGCCCTGGTTGTTTTAGAAGGTGTGACAGTCACACTGTTTTGCAATATGCCACAAAATATTGTCCAATCAGTGGTGAAAATACAAACCTGATAGCAAAGCAATGGACCTCACTGCTAAAAAGCCTGCAATCATATATTTATGTAATAATATTTTAAAATAATATGTCATATACAAATATAGTTTTCATATTAATATTACTGATGTTTGCAGATTTTATAACTATTAATGCTAATGCTAACCCACGACATGTGCATGTTTTGACGAGTTTTCTTCAGAAAACACAAATTAGCCTGTTACCAACCCCTTTCTTATGAAACACACATCTAAATAATGAAATAAATATTCATGAAATATCTAGGAAAAATTGGACAGACCAAGACATATAAGAAGGACATTTTTATTCACAAGAAAACAGTGTTATCCCAAGCTGCCATATAATACATTTATACAGAGGGTCAGAAAAGTCTTTACAAAACCAAAAAAGTTAGAAAATATGATTTGATATGAAACATGACGCAACATACATTGTCAGCTTTCATTCAAAAAAAGTTTCAGTTTGGTGTCAGTCAATTTCGATGTACTTAAAGTATAGTGAATGCCAGCATAATCATTACAAAATTCAAAGATGAAGAATAAAGTCTAGAAAAAAATACAAATCTCATGCAGCATCTTGAAAAAGGGCCTGAGAGTGTTTATAAAGGTAAATAAATCCAAGAAGGTTTTGAATTCCTTAACGTCAATGTCGAATGAGATCTAAAGTTCATTCACAGCCTTTGACAGACAAGTAACAGGAAAGTCATTCTGGCAGCTAGATGTTAAAACACTGAATCACTTTCACCAGCAAATTTCTGTGATGGCATCAGAGAAAAGCAGGTGGTCTTTTACAGCTGATATTAAACAACACATTGAGTGCTGAAAAACACTGTTTATACAGTATGTCCTATAAAGGCTAGCCTGTGAGACGGTCATTTGTGCTAAATGCTTCCTGTTGCATTTTCTGAGGTTGTTTGATTAAGACCATGATTGCATGGATGCATAGGACTAAGGCTTGGATAGACATCCACAGTGGAGTTAAAAAAACCTGCAATGCATCATGGACTGGACCGTAATACTATTTGGGGTACATGGACTGTCAAGATTTTAATGACAGAATCAATGTTCCCTTAGTCTATAAAAATTGTGTATTAATAGTATCAAATATGCCATTGAGCAAGCCACAGTGTTTAAAATCTTATCAGATATTTGTATGGTTACCCACTTGCTGGGATCCATCATTAATCTAGACTTTGTGTCCTCCAGCTCTTCTTTCAGAGTCTCATGCTTGGCTTTAAGATCTCTGATTTGCTGCTGCCGTTTCTCAATAACCTTTAATTTAGTGTTAAAATACATCAGGCCCTGTGGACAGAAGATTGACATAATTTTTAAAATGACAGTTTCATAGACAAACTAATTTTGGGCTTATCTGGATTGACTAGAAGAAAAAAAAAAGTGGTACAATGCTGGTTCCTTAAAATTACTTACCGACTGTGACATTTTCTGCACAAAGGAAGAATGTGTTACAGGACTATAATAATACTGTGATATTTTCCAGGCATTGTATGGAAGAATAAAAAGCTTCCTTGTGTTACAGTGTGGTTCATTTGTGCAATCGAGCTACATCCATGCCAGTTAATCAACATACTTTCTCAACATCCTGAACTGACTGTTGAAATAAAGAGGAAAATAATGTCTATACTAAGAAGTGGGGATACACAACATACAGTTGCAATCAAAACTATGCAACCCCCTTCACCTGCAAGACATTTTGTTCTCAAGAAAAAAAATATATAAAAGTAATTCAACAAAGGTATCAGTAAACTCTTGGAGAGAGTTTATGAATAAATATTTGAGAGATTTTGAGAATGCAAAGTTGCCTCTAAACATTCATGTTCAAAATTATTCAACCCCCAAGAGTCAAATTTGGTGCAGGGTCTTTTATTCTTTATAACCTCCAATAAATGCAACCTATAAGTGCTTAGAAGCTTCTGTCACCTCTCTCCTGCAATCTTGTCCCATTCCTCACCCAGAAAAGCTTTCAGATCACTGATAATCTTTGGTTTTAATGTAGCCATTGCTTTCTTCAAATTCTTAAGGCTTAATTGGTTTAATACAATTTCCCACCATACAAATAAGTGACTTAAAAACAGCAATGTTGAATTTGGAATGAATAATTATTATATAAATATGATATAGCTGTGTTATTAAAAAATTCTACAATTATTCAATTTTATACAACAGTTCGTTCTGGTTCTCAAATCTGATTGGTTGAGAACCGTGAGATATTGTACTGGTATCGCTACAGGAACGCCAAAATTCACAATTTTGTATCACTCCGCTTGTTCTAGCCGGGTCTATGTTTTTTTTAATTATTCACTGAGCTAATCGTAGAGTACGTTAGTTAATATAAGAAGAAACAAACATGGCATTTTTTATGAATATTTCATTTGATATTAACTACGTTAGCTCAACAGATGATGAAGATGCAGGGGAATCACTACCAGGCCAAACAGCAAGAAGTGCAGCCATTACACCTGCAGATTTGGACAATTTAGAAAAAACACGACATGAAAATAACACGGTGCGGCAAACAGTGTGGGCTGTGAACTGGTTTAAATCATGGTTATCCGAAAAACAGCTCAATATCGACCTCAAACACATCGAGAAATCACAAATGAGCTCTGTTTTGCACAATTTCCATTAGGACCAGTAAAGGAGAACTGTATGGTATCAGCAGTTACTTGATTCTTCGATCGGTGCTGAATCGCCGCATTAATGAACCTCATCTTAGCCGTGCATGAAATTTAATGCAGGACCCTGAGTTTACTTCCGCCAACAATGTTTTTAAAGGAGTTGTCAAACAGATCCGACGATTTGGTACAGACAGAACATCACACTACCCTCCGATTTCATCTGAAGACCAGCAAATACTGAAGCGATCTGCTGACCCTGGCAACCCGAAAGGTTTATTAAACAAAGTGAGGTATGACATTCAGTTACACTTTGCACGAAGAGGGAAGGAGGGCAAAAGAGCTCGTTTGAACTAAAGAGAGACGAAAATGGTACAAAATATTTCACATTGACATGTGAAATGAGGAAACGAAAAACCACAAAAACCCACTGGAGGTCGACAGGGAAATCGGAGGGGCGCTATGTTTGAAGAGCCCGGTAACCCCATGTGCCAAGTTTCTTCGCTAGAGAAATATCTCCGCAAACTCCCACCTGATGCAAAAGCACTCTATCTGCACCCTAAGAGGAGATTTGAAGCTAACGACAAGATATGGTATAGCACTGTTCCTTTGGGCATTAATCAGCTGTCACAAATGCTCCCGAGAATGTGCAAAGAAGCTGGGACGCGATCGTCCTACACGAACCACAGCATCAGGGCCACTGCAATCCAAAAATTGTCCGATGCAGGGCTCCAAGCGAGAGAAATCATAGCCGTCAGCGGACACAGGTATGTTTCTGATTTGTTTAACCCATACAGTGGAAATGAAATGATGCAAAATACGCGTTCTAATTAAAAAAAATGTAGGTCAGAAAGCTCACTGAAATCCTACTGGAGACCATCACTAAACAACAGAAAACGCTGGAGTGCAGTACTAGCATCAGATCAAACGGAAACCATACCAGAAAAACAACAAAGACTTTATCTCCGAATAACTATTTAGCAGGATGTAGCCTACGATATAGGCCTACGGCAACGTACAAATAAATGTAAACAGTGGTTCCGAGAACCATCACTCGCTGTAAATCAGAAATGTAATAGATTTTGAGCAAATTGTAATTGTATAATGAAAAACAAAAATACATAAATAATATATTTTATGATATGCTTATGACATTTTTTTTGTAAAATAAAATAAACCTGACTGAGATAATAAAAAAAAAAACTTGGAAATAAAAAATATATAAATATATTTTATGTTATGAAATGCTGATTACTTTTTTGAGTGGAAAATATCAGTTGTTTAACTTATTAACTAGCCTTTTTGTATAAATGTTAATGTTTTGTATAAATGTTAATGTAAGATGCTGGAAATGTATTTGTTGTAATTGCACGCAATGGTTTGACTAAACTAATAGAAATGTTTGTCAAGTCAGACCTATAAATCTGAAATTAAAAACGCATGCACATTAATCAGTCTAGCATCGCGGTCTCTCTCTCTCTCTCTCGCTCTCATTCGGATGCACGTCTTGCCGCATTGTTTCTCTCTTATAACCTTACTATTTCTCACTAATAACCTAACTGAAGCAGCACATGCCCTTGATACGAATTCTAAAAGTGAAGTACAGTGTCTCTGAAGGGAGGGGATCATGCTCTGCTTCAGTATGTCACAATACATGTTGGAATTCATGGTTCCCTCAATGAACTGTGGCTTCCCAGTGCCGGCAGCACTTATGCAGCCCCAGACCATAACACTCCCACCACCATGCTTGACTGTAAGCAAGACACAATTGTCTTTGCACTCCTTATCTGGTTGCCGCCACACACACTTGACACCATCTGAACCAAATAAGTTTATCTTGGTCTCATCAGACCACAGGACATGGTTCCAGTAATCCATGTCCTTAGTCTGCTTGTCTTCAGCAAACTGTTTGCGGGCTTTCTTGTGCATCATCTTTAGAAGAGGCTTCCTTCTGGGACGACAGCCATGCAGACCAATTTGATGCAGTGTGTGGCGTATGGTCCGAGCACTGACAGGCTGACCCCCCACCCCTTCAACCTCTGCAGCAATGCTGGCAGCACTCATACATCTATTTCCCAAACACAACCTCTGGATATGACGCTGAGCACATGCACTCAACTTCTTTGGTCGACCATGGCGAGGCCTGTTCTGAGTGGAACCTGTCCTGTTAAACCACTGTATGGTCTTGGCCACCGTGCTGCAGCTCAGTTTCAGAGTCTTGGCAATCTTCTTATAGCCTACGCCATCTTTATCTAGAGCAACAATTCTCTTTTTCAGATCCTCAGAGAGTTCTTTGCCATGAGGTGCCATGTTGAACTTCCAGTGACCAGTATGAGAGAGTGAGAGTGATAACACCACATTTAACACACCTGCTCCCCATTCACGCCTGAGACCTTGTAACACTAATGAGTCACATGACACCGGGGAGAGAAAATGGCTAATTGGGCCAATTTGGAAATTTTCACTTAGGGGTGTACTCCCTTTATACAAGCTGTACACTCACTACTTTACATTGTAGCAAAGTGTCATTTCTTCAGTGTTGTCACATGAAAAGATATAATAAAATATTTACAAAAATTTGAGGGAAAACTTCTGTGAGATACTGTATGTTTAACTGTCAACTTGAGATTTGAATCCGTGGCAGAAGGAAGTAGTTCCGGCACTCGGCCTACGGCCTCGTGCCTCTGGCCTAATCCCAACCTTGCTGATATAGAGCCGGTATCGCTCTCGTACTTGAGTGATATTGCTCATATATATTAACACGATCACTTTTAATATACCAGTAAACTGTTATAAATGATTTATAAAATCCTGGAGCTTTAGAAAAGCTACAGTCTCTGGGGGGTTGAATAATTTTGATTGAAATAACTGTATATGCACTCCTATTATTCAATAATACTATAATATCCCTATGCCTGGATAAATACTCCTGTGCATGCTATAATGCTTTAGCATAACGCTATAGAAGACACATGCTTCGAGGTAAATCTTGTCCAATGCAATACCAATTGGTCTTAAAAACACTGACAGACAAATTGAAGATTACCTTTTTATAATTTATGTGAGAACATTACCCTGCTGATTTACTGAGAGAAAATATAACATTCTTTTAACTGCATCATTTTACTTCAACAGTTTTACACCCTTTCTTGCTTGCTGTTATGCTTGCTTGCTCCTGCCCAAACCAATTAATTCCAGAGAGTTAATTGTTTTTCATCACTCTAGTATTTCAAATGTAACCATTTTTCCTTTTCAAAAGAAACAACTGTTTTTCTTGTTCCCTATTACTGGCAGGTTAATGTCCTATGCTGTACATTATCTTAATATTTTTAAATAAGAAGCAAAGCGCCAAAACCTTCACTCTGTGTCCAGAGTTTGAATATAATACATGAAGCATATTTCTGAGCTAATAATATTGCTCTTTACATACGAAAATCTATCTCAACCTAGATCAAAGGAAATCTTTGGGAAGGTAGTTATGGACAAAATTGGTCTCTGACATCTCAGCTATGCACAGTGTAAACATAGTTATAGATAGTTATTCATCTATGTATTATTCTTGGTTAAATGACCATGGTGTTGGTGTGCTTGACTTGCCAGCAAGCTCACCAGACCTGAACCCCATAGAGAATCTATGGGGTATTGTCAAGAGGAAAATGAGAAACAAGGGACCAAAAAATGCAGATGAGCTGAAGGCCACTGTCAAAGAAACCTGGGCTTCCATACCACCTCAGCAGTGCCACAAACTGATCACCTCCATGCCACGCCGAATTGAGGCAGTAATTAAAGCAAAAGGAGCCCCTACCAGGTATTGAGTACATGTACAGTAAATGATCATACTTTCCAGAAGGCCAACAATTCACTAAAAATGATTTTTTTATTGGTCTTATGAAAGTATTCTAATTTGTTGAGATAGTGAATTGGTGGGTTTTTGTTAAATGTGAGCCAAAGTTAAAAGAACCAAAGACTTAAACTACTTCAGTCTGTGGGCACTGAATTTATTTAATACACGAGTTTCACAATTTGAGTTGAATTACTGAAATAAATTAACTTTTCCACGACATTCTAATTTATTGAGATGCACCTGTATATGACATGTTTTACATTCCCATGAGAATGGACTAAGGTTAAATATGACCAAAAGTTCAGTGCATTCAGTTTCCAAAAAAGTTTCCAAAAAAAAACACCCAGATAACCTATTCTAACCTCATCTGTCTTTTCTTGTCTTCGCCGCTGAAGCCTCTCCACGTCATCAATTTCATACACTTTGATCTCAAAAGGCTCTTTCAGTGGTCCGGACATAGGGGGAAGGTCCACCCACTGACCCGTGGTCCCAGACTTCCCCAGGGAGGAGGTGTCCGGTAAGGGAACTGGGATGAGACGCCTCCTCTGGAGGCCTGCTACATGGAGAGACAAAGGAAATATGTGAGATAGAAAAGTAATTAGGGCAGAGAAACATTGCATGGATTGGTAAAGAAATAGCAAGCAAGCAAAAATATATTGAGGAATAGGAAAATTCTAAGCTGTGCTAGTTATTTGTATGTGTATGAGGATGTAGACTGGATGGAGATTCATATCAAAATCTCCTGACTAAATTGCATGTGATGTGCAGATGCATGTTATAAGCATTACCTGTGATGTATTCATCTCAAATAGGCATATATTATTTATACAATAAAATTAATAAAATTTCACCTGTTTCATAGTATTTTTGTCTAGAGTAGTTCTCAGGAAAAAAAGCTGTTCCTTGTGGGCTTCAGTGTTTGCATGGTTCATGCTTGAGGGCCATTAAAAAAAACTATGAAAGCAATATGACTATCAAAAACTTCAGGTCTTCATATACAACAAGAGATGCTACTCACCATTTGACCTCTTCTTGGGTGCTTTGGAGCTTCTTGTGCGACCAGAGGAGGACATCCCACTCTCACTCATGGAGTCATGGGCTGAAGAAGCACTACCAGTAGCTTCACTATCACGGATCATGCTCTCATATCCACTGCTCCCTCCACTGTGGTAGAAGAGTGCAGTTCGTCCCATGGCAGGAGGCAACTCTCCACTTAAGACACTACTGTTATCACTTCCGTGGCCACTGCTGTAGCGTTGAGGTCTTCTGGGGGCTGTGATCTTACTATATGGGGATGGGAGAATGGGGATTGGGGTATGCTGGTCATCATTGAGGTTCACTCCACTGTCATTGCCACTGTCAGAGTCACCTGAGCCCTTTGTATGTTTCCCAGAAGGATTGGCCAATGCCAACTCACTGACGCGACTGTTTGCTGCCCGCATTGCTTGCTTGGTACCCATTATTGTTCCTCTTGTGGATTTACCATTGCCTCCTACTGTTGCTCGAGGTAATGCAGTCTTTCCTGAAGGTGGAAGGTTGGCATTCCTTGTTGCAGGTGCCACAAGAGATTTAATGGATGAGCTCAGGGCTTTGGAGTTGCTTGCAGATAATGTACGAGCTTTATTTGCATTAACAGGTATTTGTCTTGCGTTAAGGCTGCCTTTGACAATCCCACTTTTTACAGTGGTTACTGGGTTTATACAAGAAGGTGGAGAGGTAGCAATTGGGGAATAGGTGGCAACAGGTGATCCAAACCTACCGACAGACTTGCTTGACTTGCTGTTGAGACTAGCACCACTGTTTTCTCGACTAAGAGCAGGTTTCGACCCCAAAGATGACAAACTGTCACATCTGTCTAGAGATATCTGGCTCCCATAAAGCTGTCCTGTATCACATCTAGCTCCTCTAGCTTTGAGACTAGAGGTTGCTTTTATCAAACTATGCTCTGATTTTAAGTTAGATGTTCTTAAACTATTTGAATCTCCTCTAGAGCTAAGATCAATATCATCCTCTAAACCTATAGCCCTTGGTGCTAAAGACTTTCCTGCATCATAAGCAGACTTTAAGGCACTTGAGGGAAACAGGATTCGATTCTTTTGATCCAAACTAGATTTGCGAACTGGAGGAGGAGGTGGTGATACATTGCCAGGTTTTGACATAATCTCCTCCTGCTTGCTTGACTTTCCACTTTTTCCTAAAGAGGAGAACTTTAAACTTCCTCCTGAGGTACCAATATCTTGAGCAAGCTTGACATCAATGGATGAATGTATGACTGGAACTGTCCCAAGTGTTGTTGCGCCTCGTCTGAGCTGTGGCATCTTGCTTGGGGACTCCATCTTCCTGTTGTTGCTGGATTTTTCACATCCGTCCACCACCCTTTGGAATGGGTTTGACCCTAGTGTTTTGGGCAATCGAGGTCCACTGTTGCTGCTTGTGCCTGCTTTTCTTGCAGGAATTCCACTCATTCCATGTTTAACCAGTCTGGACGAACCTGAATTAAAGGTTATAGAAGACTCCAATGAGCTATCTACTTGGTGCCATGGATCTTGTATGTAGTCTTGCCTTGGTGGCTCACGTCTCCAGTTGGTACTGGAGCTGCTTCCACTGATACTGCTACTCTGGGCTGTGGATGAGGTAGGTTTTAATTTCCTGGAAAGACTACACTGGACAACTTGAGAATCTTGAAAAGACTTGGGATCAGATAAATTAATGGTATTTGCCTTTGCCAGTTTTGGTAAACTTTCGGCAGACTGTTGTGGGGCCTCTGGAGAGGATGGGCACTTGCTAAGAGAGAGTTTGCCTGATATAGCACTGTCACTGTCCAAATCTGAGAAGCTACAGCCACTATCATTCAAAGAGTTTTTAGGTTCCTTTTGATGGCTGCTTTGGAACATCCTAAGAGAATCAAGGTAGAAGCAGCTGTCTGGGCCGGTAGGAGTACCTTGAGGGAGAAAGACATCTACTGTTTGGGCACCTTCACTCTCCAGACTACAGACACTTACTTCACTAAGCCATGAAGTGATAGAAGAACCACGGCTGCCAAGTGAAGTACATGCTTTCTCCTGTAATGGTGCCACCATTTTAATGTTTGCCTCTGAGTTACCAACATTACATGTATAGGCATCAAATTCATCATTGATACTGCTAATGATGCTTACTGGTCGTGATCCCGAGGCAAGGGCCTGTAGTGAGCAATCACTATTGAAACTTACAATACTGGAGGGCCTTCCATTGTCCACAATATTGTCAATTGATAACTCTTCCACAAGAGTGAATACAAGCTCATCCTCACCATTTAGCTCCACTGGCTGTTTAAGGGTTACAGTTGTCCTTAATATGTCCTTCTCCATGCACCTTTCCCTAAGATTGGACCTCATTTCCCCTGAAGTTCTGGAATTAAAGTGATGGAGTTTTACCGGTGAGTTCTCATTTGAATCACCTCTTTTTTGATGACTCATCCCAATTGGTGGCATCCTTGTGGCAGACTTTTCTTCACTTTCACTACTACTGACCCTGACATAATCTTTTTGTTGTGGTGGTGGGGGAGCAGGCTTGGGTAACTTTTTACTGAAAAAAACCTTTTCCCTAACCACAGGCTCTGAGTTTTGGGATACTGTTGGTTTAATTTGTTTTCCTGGAGTGCATAGGAGCGTTCCATTTTCTGACATTTGCACCTTTTCACCATCTGCACTTGTCCTACTCTCAGACATGTCTCTGAGATCTTTGTCCGATATGGCACTTTGCAACTTAGAATGTTCTAATTTGGATTTGTGTTTTGGACTGCCAGGCAGTTTACTGGCTACAGTAATGGACTTTTTGGATATGCTGTCCTGTGTTGATAAGAGAGCTTTGGTAGGAGTCTTGGGAGAAACTGAAATGCTGCCAGAGCCTTCATTCAACTTGGTTGCATGACGGTCCATTTTAGGGCTTGCAGAATTTCCTCCAGATTCTCCAACAAAGTCTGTAGGCTCCTCACTACCATCGATACATTCTAATCGCTCCTGAAGCTCAGCAAAGGTGTTACATTTGAAGTGATCACAGTCAACTGGCCCTTCTTTCCCTCGTTGCTTACGGTTAAGAGAGGGGATGATTGGAACAAAGGCTGGGGGTCCTTCATTGTCGCTGAGCTCTCGATCAGAGATGGCAGCACCACCAGGGCCAACATAAATTACAGTGTCACATGATTGCTCACTACTTGAAGAGTAGTCAGGATCACTGAGGAATGATGGTAGATCTGGGTCAAGGGCCACAGTGCGAGGATGGAAGGGCCGCAAATGTGGTGGTCGACGAATCCTTCCTTCATCACAGGAACTCTCTCCTCCAGAGGAACTGGATGCATACTTGACAAAGACAAAGTATCATTTAAAAAAAAAAAAAAACTCTGTAAATAGTTGTAACCATGTCAATAAAGTATGAACACAAGGGCAATACATCAAGCGACTTTTTTATTTATTTATTTTAAAGTTTACTATTTTTTTATCATAACACTTATGATACTCAGTTACAATCTCATTATAATTGTTGATGTTAATATGCATTAAACATATTTATATGTTGTTATTCATAGACAGTTGATTTTATTTGGTCTAAAACTGGATTTTAATTGGATTAAAATCAGCACTGATCATCCAAATACAATATACAATTATTATAAGAATTCCTAAATTGTAGTCGGTTAAAAATGTACCTTTGATTTCTTTTTCCTCATACGATGGATTCGGGAGGCCAGCTGAATGGTGGTAAGAGACTCTGCATAATTGGCAGGGGAGTCAGAGATGTGGGCAATCATGGTTGTCCTACAGTTGATGTTCCCCAAGGAATCTCGCAGTAACATGGTGAGCTTGCTATCCCTGGAAAAATACATTTTCATTGTCAGCTTAAACACAGGTTGATAGATTGTCAGCAGAAAGTCAGCTGTTTACTCAAGTACTGAGGAAGCCTGGCCATTAACTGTTCTCTAAAAGTGCAGAACAGTCAAAAGGTTCACTATACAGTCCTACCATGATATTAATCACAAAAAGCTACAAATATGTCTATACTGCAATTCTGCCAAATGTGAATAGGTTTTAGAACGGTGAGAAATAAGGCATATGCAACCCCAACAAGACAGTTTTTTTTTTTACATTTTTAAAAAGAGGTGCATGTTCTATGATTTCAGTAAAATACAGATAATCAACAGTGCATTAGTCAAACAATAAACCTGTCAACACAAAGATCACAGGTTCAAGCTTGTTGCTCACATCGTTCATTATGCGCTCAAATACTTCAATATTACATCCTCTATAAAAACACATAAGACCTCAGGAAGACATTCAGAATTATCATGTAATTCTATTTATGCTAGTAATGCAATCTTTATATCAAAGATGCAAGAACCATATCTACACATTTGAAGCAACATAACCCATTTTGATTTCCTATTATTTTGTGGCAAAAATTAACATTATCTTACCTGTATGGAACATGTTTAGCTCCATTGGCCAAAGCCAGTATCACATTTCCTAACGCAGTCAGAGACAGACACAGACCTCCTCCTGCGTCCCTGCTCTTACAAAGCACCTTCTCACAGCTTCCCAAGTCAATCAGATGCAATCTGCTCCTACCACCAGACACTGATGGAGGGAAAAAAAGAGAAAATGAGAGGTGATCCCTGGTGTCCCACACTACTGTCCTTCCACAAATAAAAATTAATTTCAGGTAAATTTGCATCAGCTCTGCATTGATCTAGCAATTCCCCTTCATTAACATTCATTCTATATGTTAATTATAACAAAATCATGGAAACGATAATAGCGTTTATGCATATTTAGAGAGATAAAAGCCAATAAGCAAAAACAAATAGAAGAGTAACAATTAGTGACAATTAGTTCATTCCCAAAGCTCGTCGCAAATAAAACTACTTACATTATGAAGTTTAATTCCAAAGTATTATGGTTGTAGACAAAGCAAACTTGACCGAACAAAATAAATGAGCACAGCACAGATGTTTACTTGAGAGGACAATATCTCATTCTGTACAGATAATTCCAGCCTAACCATCCTTGTAATAGAAGATACAAATACACTGTCAACCCCACTCATTACCGATATCACTGAAAGTTTGAGACGCTGCCAGTGCGGTTATACCACGCTGACGACACTCCCACACTGAGGTAATGTCGGGCAGAGTAAGGAGTGGCAAATAACAAATATATTAATAAACATCCCCAGAGAAGACCTGCGGCTGACAAGACCGTGTGTGATTTATTCAGGAGTAAGTTACCCAGCCCGTTATGATTCAAAGACAGAACAAGCTGGCCTAGATAAACACCTATGATCATACTATGCTCTAAATATATAGACAAGTGGGTCTCTGTGATCTACTCATCTTTGCCCTGTGAATATAACAGACCGTTGATAGAAACTAAAGGTTAATTGTGTGTTAATGTGGATGCTGTACTGACGTGGAACTGTTTCAATGATTATATCCTCAGCTATGACTAGCAAGGACAATGAATATCTGAATAGCAATGAATAGCAAATATGTCTGCCATTTGCAGTTTTTCTTTTTTTTTCTAAAAGTGGGTTAAAATCAGCAGGCTTGATGAAGCCATTTAAAGAAGCTTCCATGGTAATTTCACTGTTGTGGGATGGTGTCCAACACTGTATTTACCTATGCAAATTTGCAGCACGATGGCACAGTGACAGGTACCTCTATACTATGATTAGAGCTGTTAGCTGCTCATGAATTATTACTATCTGTTAAAATTCCTATTAAAGTTTAATGAAGTGGTCAAAGCAGACATGATTGATTTCCCTCCTACCATGATGGAGTGAGAGGCAAATTGAAGGGATTCTGGTAGCTCTCTGATTTGGCCTGTAATATCACAGCTATTACATTAATAAGCTTGAGATGTATTTTCCCTTTCACTGGGAAAATGAGGAGGAGGAGAAGGAATTAGACTAGACTGGGTATAATCGATTTAGCACACGCAGAGCCTTCAACAACGTAGCAGTATCATTTCGCACAGTGCAAACACAAGACTTACTTCCACCCTTGCTGCTCTTCTCCATGCGGTACTGGTAGATGTGTAAGGTGAACAGCATGTGGGAGTTGCGGCGGTCTTCCTCATCTGCGTCTGGCCGGTTGGTGCTACGTGCTGCGATGGCGGCATCAAGAAACAGGGCGGCCTTCTCTGCAGTGGGAGCCCTTAATTCGCTCTGGTTCTGGAGCTACAACATGGAGAGGATTGTTAGGTTCAAGTTATATATGGTTATATATGGTTTTTAAGTTATATATGGTGACAAAATGTTATTTTTGGCAATTCTAGTAATCTTGAGAATTTTTCTGTAAAATACTGTTAATTTTATTTTATTTCATTTTTTGGGAAATAAAAACTATGAATTATCATATCATTTGAAATGAAATATTACAGTAAAAAAACACAGATGTTATTCAAGAGAATCTTCAAGTGTCAACTCCAAACTGTACTATTTTTTATACCATACTGTCATATGGCTTATCCCTAGTTGGAGTTGATGACGAAGGAGATCAAGATAACTGAGCCTCTTTACACAGTTCTAGACAATTAAATCGAGTCTCTGTGGCAATCAGAGAAACAAATACACCCATAGAGGGAAAGGAATTAATAATGAGAGTGAGTGGTGGATAAAGAGGGCAAGATGGCAGCATCTCTGCTCATGCAAAAAGCCTGATGGAACAAAGGGAATGAAACATCCACTGGCCATATTTATGGTCTTCTTCAAGTAAACAAGCAATTAGGCTGAATGGAATGGATCTTAGTTCCCTGCATATTTTTCCTTGATATTTCTGATACACTTACTGACTCAATCAGTTGTATTTTTAAAAAAGCAGCCATCAAAAGCATATTCCTTTAGAACAATAGTGGCCACTTTCCTGCAGTGTTCGCCAACCGCCCGTGGCCAACAAGCCACTCTAAAAGTAAAGTGAGGAGAGAATGCTGTTCAAACCCACTCCCCAGATTTGAACTTCACAGGCCTCTAGGCAGTCTTTGATGTGCTGCTTCATATGGAACCCCAAAAAAACAACATCTGATGCCAACACCTGGCAGCGCTTTTAACTACCCTCTACCTACCCCCTTCTGATATTTACCCCCTTCCAATAGAAGGTAAGGGGGAGGGTGAAACAGCGCAGCAGCTCACCCAGATGGATCCTGATGGTGCACTGAGTAAAAAGAACCACCACTACATCTGGCCTTTAATTTGAGATTTAGTGACTAAGCTCAGCTAAAAGTATTCTGTAATAACTTCTACTGTTAAGTGAGGGGTAGCTAAACTCTATGAAATCTACTTAACTGATAGAACAAATATGATACAATGATCAACAGAGACGTGACCTAGGCATTTCTAGATAGTGAATTTTGATCCCATTCCCCCTTCTCTCTCTGACTATCTACTGTCTTACAATAGAAATATATTAAACATTAATTTATTGTATCCTTGCTTAATATGACCCCAAACTAGAATATTGAATATATTTTGTGTTTTATATTTTTATATATGTTGTAAAAATAACAAAATTATATAATATAAAATATATCTTTACATTGTAAAATGTTATAATTTATTTTTAATTTATTATTTTAATATTATACTTTTTTACATTTTACAATACAAACAATATAAAACACAAAATATACACACTACATTTATTGATTGATTGATTTATAGAAATT